AAAATACTGCCCAGACAGTCCGATTCAAAATTTGACTCTAGCCAGCAAGTGAATAAGCTTATATCAAACGAAACAGCTGAAACCCAGAACAAGGGTTGGATTAAAACAAAAAGGAAAAAAAAAAACAAAACCAAAAAAGGGCTATTAAAGCAAGCGATACAAATAACCTAACTTTAAGTAACTTAAAATTCAATAACTTTAACGAGACTTTGCTTCCAGGACTTTTCAGATTAAAAATGGAACAGATTTTAGTAAAAATGTATTTTTACCAAACGAAATAGCTGAAACCCAGAACAAGGGCTGGATTAAAACAAAAAGGAAAAAAAAAAAGCCCAAAAAAGGGCTATTAAAGCAAGCGATACAAATAACCTAACTTTAAGTAACTTAAAATTCAATAACTTTAACGAGACTTTGCTTCCAGGACTTTTCAGATTAAAAATGGAACAGATTTTAGTAAAAATGTATTTTTACATTTTACAAATACCTTCTAGGGTATTTGTCAGCAGCAATTCTTGGCTGGCCATTTACAGTTACCACATGCTAAAACTAAGAATAATAATGAAATCCAGCTCCCTGAAAGAATGCAAGATTTGATAATGCATCTGGAAAAAGGATGCATAATAGTGAATATGAAGTACATAGAACTCAGCAGAAAAGCATATCTGCATGGTTCTTTTTATTCAAATGTTTGAGATCTGTTTTTTTCTTACACATATATAGGTGTGTATACATATCATACTTGCCACCTTTGGCAGCTGTTGTTTAATGCCAGGATTCTACCTGCAAGGTAAACAGGTACTTTTCGTAATTAAATCTTGTTTAATCTGATGAGGGGCATGATATGCCCAAGCAGATGCTTAGCTCACTAAAGCTGTTTCTGGCCTAGAGTGTTGGGTTGTCTTTCAAGTTTTACTACTTTTAGTGTTTCGTGACTTTAAGTCATCCAAGATTTGCTACAACAAACAACACAAACTTTGTCAAAAGGGTTTTATTTTTTTTTATTCTTCCCTTAATTGTCTTCTTTTTTGTTCTACCTTGTCACCTCAAGCCTCAAAAGCAGACCGAAACATCTCCGCATAGATCTCATTTGGAGGCATGGTGTTTCACAACATGTGCATCTTCTTTAAAAAAATGAAGCAAAGCAGGGTCATCCCCTTTGCCAATTTCCAGGCATCAGTAGCCAACATCAAATATTTCTATAGAAAAAGCATGCCATAATGAGTTTGTAACACATCAGCTAAAGAAATAAATGGCAGCTTTCTTGTTAGAGAAACCACAAATGAAGTAGAATAAAGCAACAAAAAAAACCTTCTTCACATATGACAGACTTATGCAGAGGATCTATTTATTCCTGAGCAGACTGACAAGTATCCATTGGTGGTCAAGTGGGGGAGAAAGAAGAAGAAAGAATTTTAAGCTGAAAACTTTACCAACCGAAAAAGGCACAAAAGACAAAAATATATTGAGGCCTTTAGAAAATAGAGAAAGCATTATGAGAACTATTTTCAAACTGAGTATGTTTTACTGATCAAAATGAGTATTTGGTAGTGATGATAAAATTGAGTATTAAAGAAACTAACAAAAAGACTGAAGACTTTAAATGGACAAAAATTGTTTGAAGAAAAGACACGTTTATCTCTTTAGAACCTTATCTTCCAGTGCCTTCACATACATGGTATATAAATCTGGGTGTAGAATCAGTAGGAATTCAACCTAGAACACAGTTCCTTTATTTTTATTAGTACTCCTTATATTTCAATCTAATCTTTAAGACTGGCAAAATTATTTGTGACAAGTATTTAATGTTGAGATTATGGGGTAGGTTTCTTTTACAGGATTTGTAAAATACATTCTCATCTGTTTGAATGCAGATACATCGTCACAGAGGAGACAGTGCATACAATTTACAAGAGAGATTTGTAGTAAAATTTAGAGATACATGACAACCAATGTCTCAATATAATACTAACTTGGAACCCAGGTGCAAGTTTTTCAAACTGTACATGTACTTCAAAAAGATATAGCCTTTTAAAATGTTTATATATTGAAGCATTTTCATTAAGATCAAACACTTACTAAAAACAGTAAAATTATAGCAGCAATATGAGAGAATATCTAAGCCACATGAATGTTAATAATTAAAATAAACAAGTATGAAATATGACATTACTTGGATGTTTGTGTTAGATAACAAGGATAGGTAACACACCAATTACTTATGCCAAACCATCAAAGAATCTGGATTTGTTCTATATGAACTGTATGAACAATACCATTGTATAATTCAAAGATACAGTTTTAAAAGAAGTGTCGAATGCTGGCTTCCACCAACATTGTTCTGGAGTGCTTCCTGGAGAACTCACTTGAAGCTTTTAGTCCGAGCCTGACTGCGATCCTTTCTGCATCTTTGCTGTAGGAACTAAGGATGCTTTTAAATACAGATTCCTTAAAACTAGGCTTATTTTATTTACACTATTCAAAGTTTACTTTTCCTTCCAACAACAAAATGTGCAGGAGGATTTACTACATGCTATACAATGTAAAAATAGACTTTAAAAAGCCAGAACAATGTGAGTAAAACTGTACAATGTTTGTTCCCTGCTCCAGTTCATTGCACTATTAAATTAAAACGGATGAGTTGTCATGCCCAGAAGACTTACTGTAGGATCAGAAAGTCGACGCACACACAGAGGAGGTAAATGCATACTGGTTTAGGTATAGTGCCAAATGAAAAAAATACTATGAGTTACATCCACAGAAAGCTTCTCATCACAGCAAGGAGCATGGCGAATTTTGAAAGGCAGCCCTCTTCATGTAGGGCATAGTACTGCAAGAGAACCACAAATATGTCTTGATAAACATCAGTGAAGTTAGTCTGTGTACAATGTATTTCGAACACTAAAAATACTTAAATGTTGAATTCTACCCTATCAGTAACATGGTAAAATCTAGAAATTAATTGAAACTGGCAATTAAGATATCATCCTCTTCTCAAAAGATAATTAAGTGACACAACCCACTAGCTTTAACTAATATTACCCAGAAATGAGTTAACTAAAGGTCATGTCTTAAAGAGTGCTTTTTGAGGTGTTCTATTAGAAAACAGAATATTAAATAAAAGGTGACGCATGCAGTTATATTTTAAAAATATGCACTGACAGTTTGAGATTCTAACTACTTTCTAATTCTGGTGCGCATACGTGAATCACACAGTGGGAAGATAAGACATGTCCTTCATGTGTTTCTCATTCCTGTTTCACATGTAAGACACAAACCTCAGAGCAATCCAGGTTTCAAACCAATGCTAGCACAACACAAAAGCAAATAAAGAAGTCAGGTGTAACAATTAAACAAAAATTTCGAAGGCATGAAAATAAATGTTTTTGTTATCTGAATTTGCATAATTTAAAAGTAGAACAAGGGGTAAATTCTTGCTTTATTAAAACAAAAAAACTGTGGTTTTTTTAAGCCTTTACTAGAAGCTTCAAAGATCAGATATGAAATTGCAAAGCAAGCTGAAAGATGGAACATGATTCTGCTTTCCTAACATCTACATTCAGAAAAACGCCTGAGAGAAAACAATACTAGACATATTTCATGCATTTTACTCAGTAGTAATGTATAGCATATGTTAGCACTGTACTTTTATGTCACAATTTCTGTTTAAGGACAATTGGAAAAGAACACAAAGCTCAGCAGTAAGCACATCTCAGAACAGTTTACTGTAAGTATACATCTGATTTCAAATGCATTTATTTCAGCTATAAATACATAGATACTTATATATAACAGTTATGTTTTGAGAATGTCACAGTTATTTACATTTACACATGTTCTCAAATTAAGGAGAAAAAACAGTTAACCTTGCAGGGGTAGAGAGAATGATTTATTCAGTTTGTGTATAATTATTGGTAGTACGTTATATTCAAAAATTATCCCAGTACATGAAGTTAAACCTTCAAATTTTGTAAAAACTGAAAATAAAAACTAATAATCTTGAAATAATGTGTCCAGATGCAATACCAGACAACTTATCCCTAATACTTTGATTCTGTGTATATCTACTGGCTAACATTTCATATATCTCATTGATCTGTTCTGTAAGTAGCTAAACTAAGGAACCCTTGCTTCCAGCAGATTTCCTCAGATATTCCTCCTTACCCCTGTAACAATAAAACTAGGTAACTCCCCTTCCTCAGCTTCTACTTTGTTTGCTATGAACTCCATCCCAGCAGGTCCTCCCCATATTGTTTCTCTTGTCCTCATGCCCCCAAACTGATGGGAGCTACTCTAAGTGCATTCACTTCTATGTGAATATATAAAAGCTATCTGGCCAATTGGATGGTGGCTTTTCAAAGCCAGTAGCCTTTAGCTCAAAAGAAACAGTGATTTCAGTCCTTCTCCTACCTAGACACAGTTCCCTACAGTATTTGTGAAGTGCAGTTATTCCCATAACACTTCTTTCTACCTTGTGTGGTTGGAATTGGCAATTATTTGTGAGGCTGAAGAGAAAGTCAACATGACTTCCAGAGAGGCATTTTCTTCAGAAAACAGCCTAAACTTGCATACTTCAAGGATTACAGATGCTATCACTTGTTGCATTATTGTACTTGGCAAATAAAACATAATGCAGAAAGTCATTACATTACACATGCAAGAAGAAAGACTGAAAGCTTCTGTAAAAAAAAAAATTCAAAGGGTATACTCAATACAAACATGCTTTCATCTAAGGATATGGTACCTATTCTTGTTGCAACAAGACAATGCAACAATGCATAAAAACAATGCAACTACAAGATATGACAAAAATATCTCCAACTGTGCTTCTTACTTTACAGCTTAACTTGTACACAAGAAACTTTGCTGCTTGGTTGCTTGCATAGGTCTTTCAACAGAAACAAACACAATGTTTTCAAAGCACATTATATTTGTTAAACCATCAAAAAAGATCAGTAGAAAGATAAGCACAAACAGCATTTAAATACAGCAAGCTTACTAAGCTGCCAGCTTCAGTCCAAAAATGTGTTTTCTAAGACTAAGAATTTCAGAATGTTCGTTTGATATTTCTTTCCCTGTCAGCAAATGCATTCCCCCACCCTCCTCCAAATTTCAGTTTCTACTTCATAGAATCATTTAGGTTGGAAAAGACCCTTAAGATCATCAAGCCCAACCATTAACCTAGCACTGCCAAGTCCACCACTAAACCATGTCCCCAAGCGCCACATCTACACGTCTTTTAAATCCCTCCAGGGATGGCGATTCCACCACTTCCCTGGGCAGCCTGTTCCAGTGCTTGACAACCCTTTCCATGAAGAAGTGTTTCCTAATATCCGATCTAAACCTCCCCTGTGGTTTTTTGTGGCCTTTTCCTCTTGTCCTATCACTTGTTACTTGGGAAAAGAGACTGACACCCATGATCCCTAGTGATAAAATATAACAACAATATATTAAAAATATATTCAGAAAAATGTAAGCACAATTGTAAATGCTTATCAATTTCACATTACCATCTATTTTCATTCTAAATCTAAAAAACAGAATATGAATCATACACTGGTGGGAGAAGAACTACAATATACTTGCAAAGCAAATCACTAAGTCCCTTTCATTATTACTAACTTCAGGATGAAAATGTTCACTGTAAAGTAAAAAGAAACAAAATCCCACAAAAGGAAAAAGATCCCCTTGAGAATAATTTAGGTTGCGTCAAGAGTAATGTGAACAAGAGAAGGTAAGTTACTGCATTGTACAAGACTCTATATGGAATATGTATATAGTCTGGCTTTGGGATACTTACCTTTGAGGAGGTACTCCCTATGGAATAGATCCAGGGGAGAGCTAACTGATCACTGGAAAGAGGGACTTAAGCATGAGGACAAAATTACGACATTTTGGGGGACACAAGGGAGCAGAAGAAATTGGGAAAAGAGGATGCTTTAAAGAAGCGAACACCAGAAATAATTTTGAAACTAATAACCCTATTCAGAAATGCACACGGAGTTTTCTTATTTCCTAAAGTGAAATGCACTGAGTTGCATTGGACTTTTAAACTTCTTTATTATACCACATTTGCACATCCAATGTTCTGAGCATTTCTACTTCCAGAGTTTCAGAAGCATTAGCTGGTTATGAAAAAAAGTGCAAGAATGATCTACGGTAACACAGAAGGTCAATATCAGATCTGGTTGCAGAACTCTCCTTCAAGTTCTAGTCCATGCTCTAGCTCTTGGCCAAACTGCCTTGCCAAAACAAATTTACTCAATCATTATTAAATTAAGATATCAAGTATTAGACAACACACATGGATGGGGTCTGTGTGTGTCTTCCTACATGATCCAAATTTAGTCTTTCACAAATTTCAGCATTATTTTGGCATTTAGTTCAAGGTATTCAAGATAGTGACACTTCTACAGAACACCATGAAATTCAAAGAAAATATAAACTTATTTCACTGTTTTAGTTTTATCTGAACATCAGTGAAATTGGCAAGATTTCTTGTTAAATCAACACTTACTGCTCAATCTTATGGCTCCATTAAACTTTCCAGGTTCACAGCATTCTTTTTTTTATTTGTCCCATTACATTACGCCAACAATACTATGGCAATTGTTAGAATCACTTTTTTCCTGGTATTTTTTCTTCACCTCTTGATTCTAAACAAGCTAAGTAACTTTTCAACAGTAATCAACAATATCTGGGCAAGTTTATTACTAATTCTGTGGACAGCCATAACACCCACATAAGACTAGCATGTTCTAATTTTTTAAATACCACAGAACAAAAAGACAGTGCTGCTTTAAAAAAATTGTTAAGAACTTACTTGTAAGATTTTTTTTTTTCTTTGCTGTATAAAATAGAATACAGAGCTAAAAAGGTTTTACCTATGCTGACAAATGCCACACTAACTGGATTTCCCATAAAGCTACACATATCCTATTGTCACATATAATTTACTGCCTGCTTTTTTGTTGTAAGATTGGAAAAAGTGATCCTCAAAGGAACAAGAAGTTAACAGATTTTAACAGAACTAAGTATCTTTGGTGATATAATACACACATTTCAAAATGTCACTTCTTGATTAAAGCTTAATAAAAAGAAATGGAATCCATTCAGTCTAAGACAACAGCTGGATCACAGAGTAAACAAATGTAAAATTAATAGTTATCACTATACCATATGGACTATTATTACTGGGTCCAGAACTTGTTATTCTTCTGTTTCTTTTGGAAAACAAATTTAAACCCCTAAATCCTCATAATCATTTTCACCTTGCCAAGACATTTTTAAACTTTCTAGTGAAGAGAGCAGATTCTTTAAAAAGTAGGTCACTCCTTATATTTTGAAATTCAGAGAGTAGCTTGGAACTTCAGGTACAAAAGCTGAGCTGAAAGTTGCTTCAAGCAATTGTTTAAAATCATCTAATCTCCCTTTAACAAGCTTTAAAAATAATTTTCAGACAATAGACAGGTAGCTGGGAATATTTTGTGCTATGTATGGAGCCTCACTGAGGCTTCAGGCCAGAAGTTTTAGTGGCAGAAGAAGAAGAGAAACAGATTACAACTTCAGAAACAACTGGAAGACTTTGCCTGTTCCACAGGATAAATCTACACTACAACGTAACACCGTCAGCTGAGCTATAAATTTTTAACATAATCTTAACATAGAAATATGAATCTTAGTTAAGGCTACATTGAAAGGAAGAGTAAAATTCTGTGCTCACTAGCTTGTATGACTACTTGCCATCATGCAAACAGACCCACAGAAGAGCGAGAAAGGCTTAGTTCTGTTCAGTAATGAAAACATGGCAGTGGAGGGGAAATCACCTTTTCCTTTCAGTATGAGTGATGCAAGTGAGTGATTACTTTTCGTACTCCAATCATTTGTGTTTTACAATTTAGAGACAAGAGTGCTTGTATATAAAGACCTGTTTGATCCAACGTATTTAATGTAAGCATGACGTTTTTGTAATTGTTGCATCTAGCTAGTAGAACATCCCTGATGATTTTAAACTCACGAGCCTGCAGAGACAGAGGTAGGAGGGAACCTCAGTATCAAGCTTCCTAGATCATCCTGTTTTATGTTCAGCTGATCTACTTTTATAAGCTTTCTGTGCAGAAGATTGCTCCGTTTCCCTAGGCAGCCAATTTCTTCTCAGTATCCTAGTAATCTGAAAGCTTTTCTGGATAGCTACATCTAAAAATAACAGCAGACGCTGTAAAAAGCACTATTCATTCCAATCAATTTCTACCAGATGTATTATGAAAAGCAAATAGCTTTAATTATTGACAACAGTTCATCCTCTTCGGTCAAAGATTCTGATTCACAAAACTAAAGTTAAGTGCCATCACCATGAAAAAACCCTTGATCTTGAGCCTAAATGGCTCTCAGCATAAGCAAATACATCTGTCTAATATAAGAAGGATCTTCAGAAAGGGTAAGTAAACAATGGAGCAATCAAAGGAATCAACTGAAAGGATCTCCGCATTCTTATCGTATGTGGTAGTTCTGCAACACTACATGAAACTTAGAAATCAGCCCCTTCCAACAGGAAGTCTGTCAGAGCTAGAATACTGCGTGACTCTCCTTTCAGATTTTCTGAAGCAACAGCACACTAAATTTCATCCACTACTTTAACCTGAATGTACTTTCAAATCTCTGCGAGATGAGTGTGATTAGAAGTCTGTGTAAGAAATACAAAAACCTTTAAAAATCACATGGAGCAAGTTAAGTCAAATGATTGTATTTGAAAAAAAACAGCGAGACTTGGAAAGCATGATACCAAAAGAAGAGAAAAAACTTCGCAGCATATGAACATGAAGCAGACATAACATACATTTGGGTGGCAAATAAAAAGGCATCCATCATCCTTTTGTACATCTGTTTCTTCAGATCTTGGGATTTTGATGCATATGCTAAACTTTAAACACTAAAGAAGATGGTACCATTTGTATGTCAAGAATTAAATAAGAACATAAGCATTAGTAAGATCTAGGCAAAAATTAAGTCAGAAGAAAAATGTTTAAAAGTAATTTAATAACCTGGAAACTACCTGGAACAACTCCTTAAAGCTAAAGCAAGCAGTGATTTTCAATGCCTGACATTCTACTAATATAATCAATGTATAAGACTGGAAAATAAATGATTAGTACACAAACCTTTTAAATAAAACGTGAAGAAGGTATAACAAGTAAGTGTAAAAGGTAACACTTAAAATGAAGCTATAAGCACTTTATCTAGCAAATCCATGACTACCATAGGCAGTTTGAATTCTGATTCTGAAAAACCTGTACAACACAAGTTTTTAACTACACCCATTTAACTTTGTAAGCCAGACTGCTCTGCTCCTGCTGACATTCCTTCAGCTATTTGAATACACACCACATACTTTGCTATATTATACTATCACAAACAAAATAAACACATTTTATTTATGAATTATATGCTCAGAAACCTTGGAAAAAATAGAAGAGAATATAAATGAGAGCTGTGTTTGATAGAAGGGCAACATAATTCATGAATGCTGTAGGACTACTCTTTTCAAACACACCTTGTACGTACATTAAGTTAATTTAGAATAAAAAAAACCCTGCTAAGATGTACTCACCCTTTAAAATATAGTCTGTTAACAAGCTTGGCACTTTCTCGCTGTCCTCTTTCATGGCATGCAGGACTGAAGTATGGAAAAAAAAATTCAGATGTTTAGTCATAAAGACTACACTCTCAAAAGAAATACCATGAAGCTGTTTCAACTACTCATAGGGATATTACTATCAGATCAGTAAGAAAAATCTTAACTGGAATATGAGAAGATAAAATGAGACACATCATATCTCCACCTTTCACTTGTGTAATTCTCATTGAACTCTGCAGTAGATGGATGCAAGAGACCCTTTTTACGTGGTTAATTATTACAGTAAAATGTCACCAGTCATAACAACAAAAAAAGTACCACTTCCCTATAAAAAAAAAATCTCTCCAAAAGAAGGTTACCACATCCAAAACTAAAATACGCTAACAAGTGCTAGAGGCTTGGAAATCTTAGGTAAAAAAAGTATGCTCCATTACTTACTACCTTGATATTCATCCCGAATCATGGAATAATGACACTTTTCTGGAGGAATTTGGCATTAACTTAGAATAATACCAAAATTCCATTTTTGTGACTTATATCAAGTCAAAATTGTCCATCCTTGCATATTTCTGGAGAAGAAAAAACATTTGGACTATCTCAACTTGACACACTTAAGCTTGTTTCTTACTCCATAAACCAAAACAATGACGATCCTTTATGAAGTGCTCTGGGCATGACTGAAAGAATCAAAAGTACAGAATTATACTGAATAGCAGTATTTCATAAGCCCCAAATTCCTCGTATGAGACTCCGAACTTGAAACATAACAAGTGTTTTATTTCAATTTTTATGTTGAAGAAAGATATTAGTGTTTATAACTGCAGAATAATACATAGCTTTGAAAGAAAAAACAACCAAACAACTCCAAACACCTGCTTTACTGTCTGCCTTAACAACAGCACAGAGAGCGAGTCAGAAATCTGCAACCGAGTCACAGGATCAAGTTCCAACCAGCCCACAGAAGGCACATACAGTGCATTTGTACAAGACATTTTGTTACTAAACCGTCAAACGCCACAAAATGTTTTCAGGAGGCTTTAACCTCTCTCTGCTTAACACTGAGTTTCTGAGAATATTGTCAAGTGAAATTTAAATATGGCAAGACGATAAAATTTCTCTGCAGGAGTAAATATAAAATGAAAAATATATGTCACAAAATAAGTATGAATTACCAGCTAAGGGTGTCTACTGCAGAAAAATAGAAGAAATTTAATTCTTGTTTAAACATTTAACTTACTCCAGAATTTGCACAATACTTATTTTCTCTCTCCAGGAAACAACCTATGAGCCTTTTACCAGCCCTCAGCCACCTGTGGAATCACAGACCTGTGCTGCTGGGAAGTACCTGAAGACGTAGTTAGATCCAAAGCCCTGCACTGAAATCCGATCAAATACATTGACACACTCTACCACATACATTTAAACTGTTCCTATAAACCTCAAATGAAGGAGACACCACTGACTCCCAGAGATGCTCTGCTGTATTTAACCACCTTAATTATTTTTTTTTAAATATAACCTTATTTTTCATGCAAATTAGAATAAAAACTCAGAGGACTTAGAACTTATAAATAATTCTGAGGATCTAGCCTAAAAAGATGTGAAGAAAGGGGAATTCAAAGCACTGTCAAAACTCTTTGGTTTATACTCCCTAATGACTAGAATTTATTAACAACAACAAAAACCAAAAAACCCCAGAGAGAAGCAGGCTATTTAAAGGCAATCAAGTGCAATCACTAGACAACTACTTGTAAGCGTCCTGACAGCCATTCCAATTTTTGAAAGTCATTACAATAACCTCAATGAAGCACAGCAAGTTTAAACAGGGGCATATCAGGTACTGTAAGACAGTATTGCCAACTTCAGTGATGTGGTATTTCCACAAGGCCCACCTGTTGAAATAATTCTAGCCTTCAGGGTTTCAGAAAACTGCTAGAAAACAAATGTACCGTGAAGGCTCCAAAAACAAGTAAAAACTGGCCAAAATGCATGGTTAAAAATCATGCAACTTTACATACGTGCCACAGGGTAAGGGGGAAGAGATAACTGTATGATTCATTGGTTTTGAGCAATCACAGTTGGAAATACAAAGAGGAAAGGAACTTCACATGCTCACTTTTGGTTAATGTCTGAAGATCTTCAACAGATGGGGGTCCATTTTTCTTCTCATAAGGAATGACGGTTGTTAAGTACTATCAAATGAAAAACAGAGTTACTTGACAGTCCTTTCATGCAATTTACGTTGCTTACATTTTGTTTTACAAAAAATTGTTGCAATTCAAATTGCTAGCCACAAATAAAAGCTTTTCAAAAGATCATATTTCACAAAAGATTAAGATTCTACCACTCCTATCCCAAAGCTGTTATCACAAAAGCCAATTTTTTTTTTTCCACAAATGATGTGAACATCACTGTGAAAGTCATGCAGCTAAAAAGAAGTATTTAAAGGATTGGAGCTGTTTATAGTAAAAAGTTTGTCCATTAGATTTCTTCCTCAGAGCCACCAGTAGTAAAATCTTTCATCTCCTCCCTCCAAAGGTCAACCAGAAGTCCTTCATGTATTTAAAGTACTTCCTACAATGAAATAAAAGCTGGAAGAACAACCTTCCCTCCACCTCCCCTCAAACACCACTATAAATGCAGATGTACAATTTTCACACTTGCTCTTAAAAAAAGAAAATATAAATACCATGTGTTACCAGTTGTATCAAAAAAAAAAACCAGAAAGTAATTCTTTCTTTCCAGTAAGTACACGCCCTCACCAAGACCTTATGCAAACACAGGGCACTTTTCTCCCAAACTATTCCTTCTGTGTTTTCTCAAATCCACTTAGCACAGCAGAGGGAAGCATGCACTGCTTCTTAGGAAACAGTCAATTTTCATTTCTTTTCCAGCAGATGTAACCAACAGGTATCATTAGAGATTTGTACTCTTTGTAAAATTACCAGAATCAATAGCTAGATATAAGGCTGTTAAATCTGTAAATGTCAGAGATGAAAGTAGATCTACTACCTCAGAAATCAGACCCCAGGCTGTCCTTTCCAGCCTTCAGAACTAAGTGGCATTCTACCCTTTACCTAGACAACAAATTACGAGGACACGTTTCACTGGACCAAATACCAATATTCCCTGTTTTCCTTCTCCTGTAAACTCCACCTTCCAATTTTCCTAATAGTAATAATTAAAAAAAAGTAGTGTCTTTCTTAGTTTCTAGAAATCATCTTGTTTTTCTCATCAATACTTTGCTGCTGCAACAGTAAGTCTCTATAATAGCACCATAAAAACTCATGCCCTGAATTGCTGTGTGAAGGATAACATATTATGAAAAGGAAGAAAAAATTACTAGAGTGTAGCTTACTGACATGCCCAAGTGTTAAGTCTACTGTGACCTCTAAATTTTTGAAGCAGATTTGACAATATGATAAGCAGCAATTCCCACTGCATTTGTAATCACCCGTAAAAAGCATTCAATACGCCTAAAAATCAAAATGAAGATGACTATCTTGAATTTTCTTCTGGAAATATGATCACAGAAAGAGCTACCAGCATTTCAATGGCTTTTATGCAGTTGGTGGTGTTTTCTTCCAACTGCATGATCAGATGGGAACAGGTAGTTCCCACTACTGGAAGTTTCTCTTTAAACACCAAAAAATTCCAAGCCATTTTCACTTAAGTCTCAAACACACACACACACAAAAGGACTAAAATTTTAAAAAGGAAAGTACCCACTACCAGAGTAATACTACCCAGAAAATAGTAAAGGTGGTAAATACCTTTAAAATTAAAGACTGAAGAGCTCTGAAATAACTGTACAAACTTGTCATAAACCTTATGCTGTGACTCTATGTGTATGAACTTCTACCTTTTAAGGTACACAAAAAATTGTCTGTCCTTGCATATTTTTTTTTTTTTTTGAGCACAATTCCAGATTGGTAACTAACACTTCCCTGCTAGCAGAAAACACCTGAACACGAGTTTAGAATGAAAATACACCCTGAAAAAACACTTGAATAGTCTGAGAGCAGCACTACGCAACTGAACATCTGATACTTTTCTTACTTTGCAACTTGCTGCAATAAGAAGATGACACCAATATTTTAAAAGTAGGGCCAGCGTTTGGTAATGTGACAAAAACCAAACCAACCAACCCCAAACAAAAGCCAAATGCCATAGAAAAATGGATTTCCAGGACTAAATCAGAAAAGAGCTGGTATCTTTCCTACCTTTCTCCCCTATTTTTCATTTTAAGTTCTTGTTATTTCCATGATTGGCTTTAGGATACAGGAAGGGAAATAAAAACCCATAACCCTGCTAACAAGTATATAGTATAAGATAAATCAGGGGCAAAGTATGATCGACATGAAGAATAACATTAGTAAACTAACACAAAAAACGACTGGAAGAGTTATCCAATCAGTGTTATTGTTAATACATTATTATGCTACTTATGTCTAGAAAGTTAGGAGGCAGTCAAAGAAGAAAAGGTGTATTTGAATAGAGACATGCATACAAAAGAAGTCTTTTAGCCGGAAATAAGAGGGGCTGGCACAGCTAAATATGCTCACTTCATGAAAATACATTATATTTAAAATAACAGCTATTGCTTTACCAGTATTGAGATAATGTAGAGTGATAAAAACTCTGTTAGGTAAGCTCTATCCATGTGTTCAAGATCCCCAAAGCTAGGGACAAACAGCTGGATCTATGTATTCATGAACTCTCGTATATATACACCTTGCTTGAGAAAGAGGGTAAGTCCGTGATTTCTAACCTCATGATCCAGGAATGACTTGAGAGAAGTTGTTTTACCTCCTGAACTACTCTGCAGGATACTCCACTCATCTTCCACACAAAAGCCTAATCAGCCATGACTTCTAAACTACCAGGCAGTTTATTGACTTAATGGACTTCTCATGGCAGGGGGGCACGGAAGAAAGGAAGAAAAGCAAAAAAATCTAACACACTCCTCTGACACAGCTGCATAAACTGTAATGAGTGGGTATGTGTTAAATAATGTGAAATCCCAATATTTTGCAATGTGTGCCAAAAGCCTAAACAACAGCATAAGCATTGACGCTTTACTAAAATACAGAATGCATTTAATAAAATACATACTACAGTTCTGAAACAAGCAATTAAGTATTACTTTGAAATAAAGCATAAGAATGTTGCTTCTTAGGTGTATGTAACATCTACAGTGATACTCACTGAAGCTGGGTCTCTGTGCTATATATTTCAACATTTAAACAGTCAATGAAAAGACACAAACTTGCCTATGGCTTATGTATTTTATATCAGTAATCTGCATTGCACACATTTGGCCGCTTTTAACATCATGCAGTTTTCAAAGGCAAAAAACCATACAATACAGTCCATGCATTTTCCAGATGCTACTCTGGTTTTAGATATATCAGCTCTAAACATCTGAGGAAAAAAGAAAACAAAACCTTTTTTCAGTTGGAGATATTACCCAAGTCCTTAATGCTGAAGGCTGAAATGTTATGGCTAACCTGACACTTATTCTTCGATTAGATATTAGATTTTTACAGACATGCAATGTATTTGAAGCATGCATTTTGCCAAAACAGACTTGTAGTCCGGGGTAAGAAATAAGGGTTATTATTTCAGCGCATCAGGATATCGAGTCCTGCTATCAGGATATAGAGTCTTGAGCTGTTGAGGAGAGAGAGACTGTAGGCTGATCAGAGTCCTGAGGCAGGGAAAAAGTACAGATTCCAACATTTTTGTCCTATTTTTTCCTGTTTCAGCATTTATCTTCAACTAATGTCAATTTTCATGATCTCAGCTCCTACCGAAAGTGCAGGCAAAGAATGAGGAAAACAAAGATAGCCCAGCACCTGTTTCTCTCCACCCGAGTTTCCAAACGTGTGGCGGAAGCCATTCTGTATGACATTTGAGATCCCTTCCATGCTGAAGCGCTAAAAGTAGTGAAAACATAGCAGAAAGAAAAAAGGGGACAGAGAAAAGTTCAGAAGACTATTAATCAGCATTTATCAAGACTATAAAAGATGAATGACAAAGACAAGCTCTAAGATGTATTTCAGCACATTTCTATTTTTTCATTCACCTTATTAATTTTTATAATTATAAAGCAAACCTCGTAACGGCAATTAAGCAGTATATCTACATCAAAATTTAATAAAACAAAATCTTCACACTGGAGACCCAATAATCAAGACTTGCCTTTTAAGGCTGCTTCATTCTGAAATGCAAAAAAATAGTATTTTTGAAAGTTTAATTCACAGTACAAGCTCCTTTAAAATTCCTGGTTAGCAATATACTTCTAGAGACACTGCTGATGCCAATTTTTCAGATTTTAAGCACTTTCTAGAAACACTGTTCAGAGGTAGTAATTTTCAGCTCTACCTCTGTAAAACATTTTATGCTTTCATGCTTCCTTTTCCACAACTGAAGCAACAATTAGTATTCCACATTTTTTGTAATATGATAAAATATGCACAATTAGTTAATAACACACCCATATTAATTTCAAGCTCCATTACATGGAATCATGGAATCCAAGTAAAGAAAAATTAATATATAATCCAACCACAGTTTGTTCTTGAACTCTGTAATCCTTTTTGCTTGCTGGCGAAGACAAGTGGAAAAAAAAAAAAAATCAGAACAGTTTTGATGTTAGCATGAGATACAAAAATCAGCAACTGACAAGAACATAAAAAGAATAAACTGTCGAGCTGCTGACACAGGGCAGTATGATGCGCACAACTCAGCGTGCTTATCTGGATGTATTTATTTATGGGGGGGGAATACAATGTGCTGGAATACAGTATTTATTTGCTTTCTAAAGCACAATGAGGTCAGTAAATACACATAGATATTGCCAAAGCCATCTTAACTCGTAAGATATCCTGCTTAAAGGAACAGTATCTTCAAGCCCTGACTATTTTTAATTACTCCCCAGTTTGCTGTTGTGAGAGAGGTAAAAGTTTTAGAGGTCTAAGAAAGTGATTTACCCAAAGACTGTACAAGGACAAAGAATTAAAACCTCTATTTATTAAAATTAAATTATAGTATCTACAGGAGAATTGATTTTCTTAAGAGTATGAAAATTTAACCCTACTTCCAAGCTTTGTATTTAAATAAGACTTCATTATAGTTAATAAATTTATTAATTTATACATTAACAGAAAGTCACTCTTCACAAAGTTACTTGAACATACTATCTGTATGCGCATTCTCAGCACTTCCTTAAAAAAAAAAAAAGGAGCGTTGAAGGAAGGAAGCTTGCACCTCTTTCTGGGAGAAGGCTCTCAAATCTGTACTTGGTGATAGTGAAAGCTTTTTCAAAGGAAACACACATATGCAGCCTACAGTCTTACTTGGGAGCTGGTTTGTTCAATCGCTCTCAGAAAGTAATCTGACACATCTATACCTTGAAGCGACCAAATATGAGAATGTCTTATGTTCGGACCATGCACAGTTGTACTTAAAAGCATCACTCAAGTCTCCAAACTCGAAACCAACCAGAATAGCTTATGAATCACTTGACCTAAGTTTCAAAACCAAAAAATTATTTTTCTTTCTAGTTAGAATACCATTTTTTGTTTTTCCATGACGGACAATCAAAAAGGAGTACATTTGAACTTTTCACTGTGCTCTTGCAAAGGGATGGTAATTTTGCATTATTTTCCAGACATACACTTTCTTTGAGTTCCATTAAAACTCAGCTACGTACACAAACACTTTTCATTAGATTGACAAGATCAGAACTCCGTTTGGATTACATCACAGGTATCTTATTCTTGTAAGCTTAGAAACAGATTCTGAAGAATTAATGTTTCATGACAAATGTTTATTCCTTATGTTTGAAAAACAAACTCAAAAACTTTCTGATGTCAAACTGAAGCATTCTTTCTGGGATTTAGCCAAGATCTACAACACAATAACCACATATTCTGCATCCTATAAGAGACACTAAGAAATTCTAACATTAATATCCTACTTAAGTAATTTAGAGTTATACTAGACAGATAAGAAAAAAATTGCATTGACAAGATAATAACCTACTTTCTTTCATTCTCTGCCTCCTATTATTCAAACTCTGAAAGACATTTTTCCTTTTGTTGCTATGTTCTGTAAAGAATAAATCAAATTATCTCCTTCCTGTAGACCTGCACTACATTTTGGCCTTACCCCTGTCTCTTGTTGGATGTAGTAACTCTGTGACAGGTTTCAAGAGAACCAGGGTAAGACTGTTACTTTTTTCCTACCTAAAACCCAACATGATCACTAAATATCTGTACAACTACACCAACAATAATACTGAATTTCCTGCAAGACTAACAGTGGTACACGCATACTAAAATTCACACAGTGAAACCAAACAGATAAATGAGTTTGCCAATAGACAATAGAACACACAGCAGTACATCCAAAGACAGTATTTTTTGCAAGAAAGGTATGCTGATTTGAGGCTAATTTGCAAACAATAAAAAAAAATCTCTTTTGAGTATGACAAGAGTAAAATGTTATATAACCTTGTGAAAAAACTAATCTCAGCAGGATCTACGAATGAGGGCATGGAAGCAGGTACAGCAGGTATCTTGATATGGCCTAGGACTACTAATTCCCATAGGGAAAAAACAAAATATTTTGAATGTATAAATAGTTACAAAATTTTTCTTACTGTTCCAGGCATATGACCGCTTTCTTGTTTGCCATTCTGAGGACTACCATTTTTCAGCTTCTTTTTCTTCTTTGCTGTTTCTTTGTGTTCTCTCTGTTTGTTTTGTACTTCGATGAGGACAGAAATGAAGCTGTTTTTCACTTCCTTCTCAAACTCCAACTCATCTCGTAGAGCCAACTGTTGTACCAGTTCCTCAGAATAATCCTTAATAGCAGTCTCAATTTCTTCCAGCAGTTCATTTAATTCAGCAACAGACAATCTTTTTACTCCTATAAATTGTTATATAAAAAGTAATCCGTCAAGATTTTAAGCATGAGAATACTTGTGGGAATTATAAGAAAAAAGTACTCAAATTTTTCAGAACAAAAAATTCAATTCTAAAACTACATAGAACAAAACAATATTCCTAAAGGAATAAACACATCACAGAGGCAACTAGATTAGCAACAAGAAGATGGTTAAACTTTCTTCTTATTTCTGAGAAACCTGAGATAATCTGCAAATATGAAGAGCACGCTGTAGTTAAGGAAGCTGAAGTAAGCACTAGATTTCTAATACTGACACCTCTGTTAACTATTACTTTCCACCTACACTCACCGTTCAAAGTAAAAGGTTTCCATATTTTCTGACACAACAATCAACACTTTGGCATTTCTGGAATCCTTGGGTTTTCCACTTACAGTAATACAGAAACTACACTCTATTGAGCGAGGGAATCTTCTTGGGGATATTGCTAAGGTATGCATGCATATTAATAAAAGCTTGCACCAAGCTTTTATGATAGTATTTTTAGATGCACTTAGTAGAAAAAACAACAAAATCCTCCAAATTTTCTTTGTCTGGGGATTGTAGTCAAAAGCATGGCCTTGTATTGCCTGAAACAAAGACCTAGATCAAAATTAGCCAACAGGCTCATTTCAATCAAAAATAAGCATTAATAGCTTTGAGAAAGCATGAGGCTGAATTGGTCAAAGCTGCATCAGACTTTTTGGAAAGTCAGCTCTGGTTGTCAGCAATAGCAACATCAACTCAAACATAAACAGGGGGAAGAAAGGTAAATTCAGTGACAAGATTATCTGACGCTCTGTGGGTGCAAGTAGCAGAATAGGCCTTACAGTCTGTGGAACTGATTATACTCTGTGGTGAAAATTAACAGAAGTTCCATATGCATTCAGTACAAAGGACAGTCTAAAAAGCATAGGTTGCACCACTGTTTTGTTTTTGTGAAAGAAGACTAGAGAGAGCACCATTGAGTCCCAACACTTAAGAACCAGCTTCACAGCCTAAGTAACAATCGTTCAAAAACATAGGTACAGATTACCCAACCGCAATCCTGACTTGTTTATGATAGACCAGTTGTCATTATCAAAGCCTACAAAAAGGCTACATAGGAACTACTCAGCTGATGCAGGTGAGTGAAGACAGAATAATTCAAATGCAGAAGACTACTTGGATTAAATCTTACGTATGTAGGCTAAAGGACTCACCTGTGTAAGCAGAGCTGTAACTGGTTTTATTTTTGGACTGTCTTAATGCATGTCATTTCCTATCCAAGAAAAAAGTAAATACAAGCTTCGATTTCCTGCTCTCAATCCTAAACATTAACACCTCTGACTTGTCTTATAAAAGCCAGACAGTTTCTAGGAAAACCCAGCAACAATTTCACAGAGATACAGACTAATTCTTAAGCAGCTTCACACACTAAAAAGGTAGCAAGAGCTTTTCATAAAATAGTGACTTCAAATACATGAAAGCAGATTCTGAGAGACTGATGCAGCAAAGTTAAATTATCTACCAAAGTCAGTCAAGGCACTGTTTGGTCAAGGCTGACCTTTAAACCATAAAGATGCAACGGATAAGATCAACTCCTGAGGCAAAGCAAAAGAAATACGATATGAAATACCAAGCAAGCTTGATTAGCTCCAAACCTAAGGACATATGGAACTGTCAGGAAAGCAGGAAGCCCTGCTGAGCAGGATATACTTTACTTTCACATTCCTGAAATGTATGTGTTGAGACAGCTAGGAGTCCAATCATGAAAATGGGATCTTCTCAATAAATGTGAACTGTAGCAGAAACTGGAAGTCATGTCATAGAATCATAGAATCATCTAGGTTGGAAAAGACCT